GTATCCCTTCACCATATTTATTCAACCTGTATGCTGAGAAAATAATCCAAGAAGCTGTACTCTGAGGAGAAGAACCCGGCATTAAGAATGGGAGATGGCTTACTAGCAGCCTATCATATGCAGATGGCCCAACCTTGCTGAACACCAGGAAGACTTGAAGAAGACTTGCTGATGAAGATCAAAGACAGTCTTCAGTGTGGAGTGCAACTCAATGAAACAAAAACAAAAGTCCTCACAGCGGGACCAACGAAGAGCCCATCATGAGAGACAGAGAAAAGAGCGACGTCAAAGATTTCATTGTGCTTACGTTCACAATCAATGCTCGTGGAAGCAGGAGTTGAGAAACCAAAGGATGTGTTGCATTGAGCAAATTTGTTGGGAACCGCTCACCCCCTCCCTGGGGGATGGACAACAGAAAAGTGGGTGAAGGGAGACATCGGTCAGTGTAAGACATGAAACAATAACAATTTATAAATTACCAAGGGTTCATGAGGAAGGGAGGGAAGAATGAGGCGCTGATACCAAGGGCTCAAATAGAACATTTTGAAAAGGACGATGGCAACAAATGTCCAAATGTGCTGGACACAATGGATGGATGAGTGGATTGTGATGAGAGCTGTATGAACCCCAATAAAATGATTTTTTTAAATACCCCCCAAGCCCCTCTTTAAAGGGCTGAAGAGCAAAGGTGTCCCTTTAGGCACTAAGCCATGACCCAAGCCATGTTATTTTTAATTGTGTCACAGGCATGTGAAAGTCGGACAACGAATCCAAAGCCTGAAGAGGAGCTAATGCATTTGAACAATGGTGCCGTCAAAGGGTACGGAAGGTCCAGGAACTGCCAAAAGAACAGACGAGCTGGCCTGGTGATAGCACACCTAAGAAGGATGGGGAGACTTCATCTCAAATAACTGGGCCGTGTTATCAGGAGGATAGCAGAGGTTCGGTGAAAACAAAGACCATCAAGAGATGAAGTGGCAGTGGCGGCAGCGATGGGTTGAAACTTTGGTGGGGGAGCCCACAGGACCAGGTGGTGTCTCATTCTGCTGTATGTAGGGCCACTATGAGTAGAACTACCGACTGGGCAGCCCCGAACAACAACAAAATCCGACTTCCATTGTACCAGTGCCGAATTGATGTGGGAGATATGAAATAACCAACTTCCTCCCCTGGATCGACCTAGCTCATCTCTGGGCAAAAAGTAACTAAATAGATCAATCACGAACACCGGTGATGGTCACATTCCAGGGTACAGGCTCCCTCAAAGGCTGGACAAGAGAAACCAATTCATAGACACATTGTGTATATAAGAAAGAGTTTTATATAAAAGAGAAAATGTATATTAAGAAAACATATCAGCCCAGTCCCAGATCAAGTTCATAAGTCTGTTATTAGCCCATATGTCTGACACCAGTCTATACATTCCTCTTCAGACTCACGCAACATATGCAATGATGCCAAATGCAGGAAGATCACAGGCCAGTGGGTAGAAAGTCTTGCAGATCCAGTGGTGGTGGAAGCATCTCAGTGCTGGTGTGGGTCTCCACATGGCTCCTCCAGCTCCAGGGCTCTGGTTCTATCAGCTGAGCTCCATGTGGCTTGTCAACAAGAATGTCTTGAAGGGAGATGAAGCAGAGAGTGGTGGTCTGGCCTCCAGTGAGCTGTTTATCTCAATGAGGTTTATCTCAAATGAGGTCATCAAGCTGCGACCTGATTGACAGGCTAAACTCCCCCCCTTCACTTTTTTTTTTTTTTTAATCATTTTATTGGGGGCTCATACAACTCATCACATTCCATAAAGTCTCAAGTTGACACCAGATTATGTAACTTCCACAGGTGAAAAACACCCACCCCAACATCAATAAGACTCCTGTACAATCCAAGGGGCATACATGTTGTAAAAGTGGTATGGAGGTGATGTGATTTGACCTCTCCTAACTTCACAAAGGAGCAACGCACTCCCTTCCAGCAGACACCAACTCGCAGTAAGTCCATAGGATGGAGTAGAACTATCCCATGGTGTTTCCAAAGTTGTACATCTTGATGGAAGCAGACTGGCCCATCTTTCTCTTGAGAAAGGACGGGTGGGTTCAAATCGCTGACCTTCCAGTGAGCAGCCCGATGCTTCAACTCCTTTCCTAATGGGGAAAGAAGGTTGTTATTCCCAATCAACAACTCAACGCTGATTCCTTTGAGACAACAGTCAGACTTGGCTCTCCTCTCCAGCCTTTTTATCAATTCTGACCCCAGCTTGCCCCTGCCATGGCATTTTATTTCTCTGCTAGAGTCAATACACTAAATCAATCCATCAACCAATCAATAATGAATTAACTAATCCTATTTAATTAATAAACTCATGACCACACTTAATTCATAGGCCATACTCA